GTCAGTGAAATGTCTGTCTTCCTTAATAATTTCAATCTGGGTGACAGGGGACAGGGCATTTTGCTCTGAACGAACGCACTGTAAAAACTGTCAGATAGAATTTGTCTCAAGAAGCAACATTTCTCCCTATTCATGGTCATAATTGCAGGCATCTTATGACCTGTGCAGCAGCACATTTTGCTCAGCTGAAGAAAAGGAGACCTAAAATAGGTGGTTCGGTCGTTCTGCAGAGCTTTGGCTTAAACCTAAATGGATTCGAACAAGCACTGGGGATCTCCAGCAGAATGCTTTCATTTGCTTGGGTTTTTTCTTCTAAATCCAGAACAAACTGGGCACAGAAGTGACGTAGGAGAAAAGAAGGACTACAAATTGCCATTTGCTGGGCTGGTGTAATGGCCTATTTCGTCCTATATCCTGTCTCCTAACTGCCTGCCTCTCTGAATTTCCTCTGAACTGACAGTGGCCAGCGTCTTTTTAATGCACTGAATAAGTAACTAAATGGGTAATTAACCAAATGGGCATGACGATAATTTGATTGTGCTTTCCTCACTTTTAAAGCACAGGAAATAGCAAGAAAAGTAATAATCCAGTGGCCAGCAGGAATTCAAAGGGAACAAGAGCTCGAGGAGCCGGGGGGAGCTTTGGTTAGATGTTGCTGCCTCTAAGTCTCCCACAACACTGCAGAAATCTGTTTGTTTTGTTAAACATTTGGATTTCTTGATTTGTGCCTCCTCAGTGGGGGAAAAAAAATCAATCCAGTGACCTGAAGCAGCTTTTCTTTTTATGCTTCAATTCTACAATTAGCAACGGTCAGGGAAGAGAGCATCCTGCTGGCTCCACTGTACGGTTATGGGTCACACCCCACTCAAATCTAGACACTGCGTTGGGATCACCAACCTGGTTTTGCGTAACAGCTCTTGCAATATTAGCCTGCAGTGCCTGTGGCTTCCCTGCCTCGCCAAGAAGGTTTGAGCACAAATGAAACGGGGAGAAGGAACCAGGAGCTACCGCGGTGGGAAGCAGCTGCAATGCTCCGCACTGCTGGGGAGGCTCCAGAAACGGGAAAACTGAGAAATAACACTCCCTGTCCCAGGCATCCCAACTGCTTGCAGTGAATACCCTCTTGCCCTCTGCAAGGAGACAATGATGTCCACTGATGATGCTCAGGAAGGAGCATCCCGCTGAGGAGCAGGGCCCCAGCTGGTCTCTGGAACGTTCTCACCTGCAAGATCAATCCTGCCGGAGCCACACAGGCTGCAATCCGCTGAGGGCAGACGCCAGGTTACAATCCATTTTCACCTGCACACTCCAATGGATGCCCCATTCTTGCCATCGCAAGTGGAGGGCAAACACTGAGCGATGGACCTGGGAAGCAGGGGCTGCTGTGGGATGCCTGCAGCACTGATGCTGCCAGGCACTGACAAGTCCGGAAGGAATGAGGACTCAAGGAGTTTTGCTGGTGGTAGGTGAGGGGGACACACTCCTTCACACTGATCTCAGCCTGGGAGGTGGCAGGAGAGGTGAATGGGGGCTCCTGAGTTCAGAGCAACCCCTCTGCAGAGCTGCTGTACACCTGAAGCAATCACTGCAGGGCGATGCTAGCAACCCACTCTGCATCCCAGGAGAGCCAGGCTCATCATTTAACCACCACTGGCAAAACCCCTCCATCCAGGCAGTGTTCAACACCCATCTGTCAAAACAAACACGTCAAAGACAGACCTCAACTTCCGCTAGCTGAAACTTCAGCAAGAGCTGCTCTCCAGAGGCATCCCGGCGGGGAGGACACAGCCAGAAAGACTGGCACCAGGGCTGGCCACCAGTGCGGCCATGGGAGGACAATGCAAGGTTTGTCCCTGCCCATCCCTAAGGAGAATCTGTTAAAATATACCATGTTTAAGCCCATACATAGAAAGTCATCTTGAGGAGCTCTGTGGAGCCCAGACAGGGAGATTAGGAGCAAAGCTCCATGTAAGCCTTGCAGAGTTCATTCTGGGGTTGTGTGAGCCAAATGGCATGCTTCAGCAGCTAGAGAGGAGCCCAGAGAAATCAAGATTTCTATTCGTATCCAGTCCGCTGACCTGCCCTGTGATCTCCACTAAATCACTTCTCCTCTCTGTGCCTTCATTTCCTGCACCTGAAATAGCAGGAGCACGAGAATTCTTTTCTTTTCTGGGAAGCAGTGAACTCCCAGCAGGAAAACTTGTCTAGGCTTTACAGTAACTGTAACATCATCTTTACTAATACTGTACAGAGACAGATGACAGCAAAGGGCAAAAGCCAGTGCAAACAATACCTAGAATGAAAAACACCCCCTGCACCGCAGTCCTGCATCATACCACAGCCCCACACTGCTGAGCTGCCTTGTGAGCCAGGGACAGAACCAAAAGCTGAGCCCAGATGCTTCAGGCCAGCCCTGCCCAGCTTTGGTTTAGCACAGGTAGCTCAGTACGGGCAGGGTTTTACATAGGCTGCTTGGCATCCCTGTGCTACTCACAGCTTTTATTATTGGAGTAACCCCACCAAGGTTGTGTAGCACACATGTATAAATACATGTAGCTGCAACAAGTAAAATAGGAACAATCAATTTCAAGACATAGAATCATGTCATAGAACACCAGCTTGGAATGGACCTCAAGGATCGCCTAGTCCAACCTTTCCAGGCAAAGCATGACTTAGACTAGATAACAGACCCAGGCATACTGCAGCCTGGACAGTTTCCCTTTAGTGGTGAAAAATAGTCCCCATTTCCTGCCAGGCAGAGATGTCCCACTGTCCTTCTTACCCCGATGTACTGCCAAAGTGCCCGCACCCTGGGAAGACAGGTAGGTGTGTATTGGATGCACACGTGCTTCCCAAACGGGGAAATTCAATCTGTCAAGAAAATTCAATAACAACCTTAACATTTAATTGTACCCTAGGGCCCAATAAAAATCAACGAGGTTGGGAGCTGTTGATTTTTTGTTAACCTTCTCTTAAAAAGGTCTCAAAAAATAGCTGTTTAGAGAGGCTAGCTCTATGTACATGTGCAATATGTATGGCGATGGATGGGGAAAAATGTGTTTAAAACTTCAGACTGGATCCACACAGAAAATACTTAAACACTGGCACGGAGCTTGGCCATTGTTAGGCAAAAGAAAACGTCCTGTTTTGATTTATTCACGCAGCACTCAATTTAACAAGTGTAGCTACAGGCAATTGGAAAACAGTCAAAATGGTGAATTTGCTGCTTACACTCATTTATACTGTTTCCTGAAGACAATTTGCTGTTGCTTTTTGGCATGCCTAGTATTTTTTAAACCACACAAAGGTTATGCCCAGTTCTCATAATTACACAGTGACTTTTTTAGTTATAGGTGCAGTTGGGTGTTTGCCATGTGCTGAGCATCCAGAGGTTGATCTCCGGGGGCTGCCTCCTTCACGGCAACTGCCGGGGGGGTTTAATGCTCCGGTGGCCCCTTTCATCAGTGAGGGGCTGGGTCTTTGTGGAGCTGCATTTAGTGAATGTATTAGATGGGGCTCAGGCAGGGGCAGAGTCTAATCAATAAACCAAGTGCCAGTCGGAGTTGTGCCGCTCGTCAGGATGGCGCCTGGAGTGAGACAATGTCCAAGCAATTAGAGGAGCTGTTTTGTTTCTTTTGTTATTAATTATCTACATTACAGCCACACCTGGAAGCTTTTGGGTGCTGCACTTCAGCACTTTCTTTGCCTCAAGAAAGTTAAGTAGCTTGAGAACCTGGGAGGGGGGGGAAGAAAGGAATAGCAGAGATCAGCGGCTGCCAGAACGCGTGTCCAGCAAGGTGATGAAACCAGGGGTCTCCATCTGAGCTCAAGGAGCACCTCTGAAGCCATCAACTGATAGGAAAATCGCAGGCGTATCCGCGCCACAGCCTTCCCTTGGTGGCTGGCACGGACACGTCAATCACAGAAAAGAATGCTCCGCTGGCTCAGCAGGTGAGCCAAGCCAGGGCTTGTCCCTTTGGCTGCCGGGCTCGGCTCGGGACGGTGCCCGGGGCGGCAGGAGGGATCCCGCACTTGCTGAGCTCGCAGTCACAGCTCCCCGCTGCAGCCCGCCTGGCTGCCGGCACCCACCGCGGTGGGAGCTGCGGGAAGCCCCACGCAGCAGCGCGGAGCTCAGCCCTGCACGCAGCCAGCACCGCTCGCTATTCCCGACACGGGGAGATGGGCAGCAATTAAACCCATTAAATCCAGTGCTCCTGGAAGGATTTCACTGTCTCAGCAGCTCAGTTCTCTCTGACTACAGAGATCAGGGGCTGGTACTTATTGCCGTTAGTGTGCCCGCTGCCGTGCAAGGAGGGTTCAGAGTGTACAAAGCGGGATGCGCCATCACCACGGCTCCATTGAGACTCTGCCTTGGAATTGTGCTTTTTAATACCAAACACCGCACGTTTTGGCCAGGAATGGCACCAAAGACTGGCAGAACCCCAGGACCCCTGGCAGGAGACCCAAGTCTGCCTGAAGCCCCGCCGAGGGCTGAGGTCCCCGGCCCGGGCACAGGTCCCTACAGGCCCCGCAGGACGCTGACAGACACTCCCCGCCCTCCCACCGCCGGCCCGGGATAAAGCGGGGAACCGGGATAACGCAGGAACCGGGATAAAACTGGAACCGGGATAAAACTGGAACCGGGATAAACCGGGACGGGATAAAACTGGAACCGGGATAAAACTGGAACCGGGATAAACCGGGACGGGATAAAACTGGAACCGGGATAAAGCTGGAACCGGGATAAACCGGGACGGGATAAAACTGGAACCGGATAAAGCTGGAACCGGGATAAACCGGGACGGGATAAAACTGGAACCGGATAAAGCTGGAACCGGGATAAACCGGGACGGGATAAAACTGAACCGGGATAAACCGGGACAGGATAAAGCTGGAATCGGGAGCGCTTCTCGCCCCGCCCACCGTCGAGCCACGTGAAGATGGCGTCATCGGTGCGCGCCGCGGCGCGGGTGCGAGGGGAGGCGGCGGCGCTTGGCTCCGCTGTGTCACGGCGCGGCCGCCATGGAGTACCTGATCGGCATCCAGGGCCCCGACTACGTGCTCGTGGCTGCGGACACGGTGGCGGCCTCCAGCATCGTCCAGATGAAGCACGGTGAGAGGCGGCGGGGGTGGCCTGTGCGGGCCGTGGCTCCAGCCGTGAGCGAGCGGCCGGCGGTGGGCAGGCCCCGAGCCTGTGGCGCTGAGGAGGTGCTGTTACAATAGGGGGGTGCAGGTAAACGCTGCCGGGTGTTGGTTTGTTGTTGGGTGTTTTCGCTGTGAGCCCGGTTGCTTGGAGCAGTTTCCAAGCCGAAACTGGTACCACTGTTGGGTTGTCGTGGTGGGTTACCGGTGGGGGTAAGCGGTGACTTGTCAGCCCCAACACCGCCGTATGGATGTGTTAAAATCACCGCAGGGGTAGCGAAGGGCGAGATTCAGTGCTTGGTTGTGTCTGGTTCCCTGGTAAAATGTCATTCATGGTAAAAAGGAGCTCTTTGTTAGAAGTAAAAGCATCAGGGAACGTCTTGGCGCAAGGCATGTGAGTGAAGCTATAATCTGTATTTGACTTCTTTATGTGGTAAAATATCCGGGGCGTTACGACTGGTCTGGTGTGAGGTGGCCTTGCCCATGCCAGGGGGATTGGAACTAGATGACCTTAAGGTCCTTTCCAACCCGAACTATTCTGTGATTCCTAAGCCTCTGAAACGCTCTGAAAGGAATTTTGCTACTTACTGCTGCACTAATCTAGACTGAAGCTTGTTTACAAGGTTTAGTGAACTTTCTAAGCTAAATACTGTGCTTTAGAAGCTCTTAAAAGCACCCTAAATAACCATCAGCACGTTTTAGATGTGGTATTGATGAACTGTGGCATCACAAACCCATGAATGCTATAGCAGTGCTTTTATCTAGAATACTCCTCTTCAGGTCATTGGAATGGTGTTAGAAAGATGGTTGTGAAAGGTGGTGGCACATACACAATACAAATGTAATCATTGCAAACCATGTTTTGTAAGTTAACTTGGTTCCAGGTGGCTTTATTTATGAACTTTAAGGGAAATGTATTTAAAACACAGGGTTTATTTGTCTTTTGGGGGAGAAACCCCCCCCCAGATTTCAGGTATTTATTTAGGGTATCCACATTTACTAATACTTAAATTTGTAACTAGATTGCAAGGGCTGATGGGTGTCAGCAGCTTCCCTAAACTCTCAAGACATGCAGCTTCTGTGCACTGCTGGGTGTTCTGCTGCCTCCTGATTGTGACACTTCCTACCTGCCTTGCAGCAGAGATTATTCGCCAGCATTTAGCGAGCTGAAGCAAAGCACAGAGGTGGAGGTTTAATGCTGTTCTGTAGGCTCCCATCAGCACACAGAAGTGATCTTCCTTTCGCACTACTGGGTACCAGGGTTCTTCTGCCCAGGAAGCACCACATATAATGTTAAACTTTGCATCAACACTATAGTCATTGTATAAGAGCATGGATTTCTGAAGTGCCTCCCTTGCTGAAGGAAGCACTTTGTGCATTCCAGCTTTGTTTCTCTCAGTGATGTGTTTAACAAGTGTTGTGTACTGTGCCACCAGCTGTGTGCTCAACTGAGTGTTCAGGTTTGCTCAGGAGCACTTTTTGTTAGTCTTCCAGGTCATAATGTAGTTATCTGAGTCTTACTTTCTTGCCTCTGAAAGAAGCCATGATGTGTTATGATATTGGCAAAATAATTTATTCTTTCTCATGACCACGTTATTTTTCTTTGCCTAGACCATGACAAAATGTTTAAGATGAGTGAAAAGATCTTACTCCTGTGTGTTGGGGAGGCTGGAGACACTGTACAGTTTGCAGAATACATCCAGAAGAATGTTCAGCTCTACAAGATGAGAAATGGTGAGTGAAGTAGAACAGTTACCCGCTGAGGGTTTGGAAGCAGAGTTAATGATAGGTGTAGTTTACAGCTGATTATTTCTCAAAGCTTCTCTAGCTTTAAGGATTTCAGCTTTTTTTAGTGTCGAGTACAGGTGGTAATGAAGCCAGGATTTAAAAATGGCAATTAGATTATATAGTGTAAACAGAGAGGCTTATCCAAAGCCCAGTTGGCCTATTTGTAATGTAAATGGCACAATAATAGGTTTGTTAGGAAAATATTTCTCTTACTATGTCTGTTGTGCGACACCTGTTACTGGTTTTCTTGATACGTTGGACTGAAAAATTCAGGCTGCATGCCCATGGTATTTTAACTGTTGAAGCTATATATTTTAATGGTCTGCACAGATATGACCTGCCTGGATTTTGAGGGCCCTCTTTAAGCTTGTCGCTGTCAGAATAAACTGGAATTAGGCAAATGGCGTAAGATTTTGTTACCAAAGACTGTCTTTGCTCTTTCAAAATAAGGAAGTGAAACATGAATATGGATTTGTACTGTTATCAAATACACACATTTCTTCTCCAGGTTATGAATTGTCTCCTACTGCAGCTGCAAACTTTACACGGCGCAACCTCGCTGACTATCTTCGGAGTCGAGTGAGTAAGAGCTGAAAGATTTTGGCAAAGGCTTACAGGGGAAAATTCCCATCTTCAAGTAATGGAGCCTGATGAAAAAGGTGGCAGCTCCTGTCTTTAGTGATGAATTCACTTTGAAAGGATGTTTTATTAAAATATGACTTGCTTTGCTTATTTAAAAAACTTACCACTTCTCATTAACTGGTACAACTACAGTCTTAAAATTCCAGCCTTGGGCCCAAGAAATGTTTTGTCACCAGTGTTGCAGACAGTGGCGTGAATCCAGCCTCTTTAACGTCGAGATAAGGTTGCTGGTTTTCATGCAAATGCACTGAATCCGTTTAATCTTCTTGGAAAATGATTTAATAGAGCCAAGCTGTTTGATGTACTTAGCAAAACAAGCCCCTTTTGTAAACAGCACCATGAGGCTTTCCATAAATATCAAATCCAAGTTGAAGCTGTGTTTTCAGGTTACTAAACTGCAATTACTGATTTTTCTCATGGTAATTTTTTCAAAGTAGGAAAAGATGGCATGAAGAGGCAGATGGACTTTGAAAGGTCCAAGGTTAGGAAGCATTTCATTGGCATTCTCAGCGTGATGTATGAAAGAAAACAAGAAAGAATGGGATGCTGAGAATGAAGTTGCTCTGTCAGGGACAGTATGTGGGATAAATCATGTTGCTGTTCTGACTACACTGCATGTACAATAACAAAGGAAGGCCATGCCTCACATAAGAGCTGCATTGTTGAGAATGACATGTGTGGAGTGCAGTTTACATCCTTCTGCAAGAACCTTGGGAACAGCCAGAGGTCATTTATCTAACTTTTGACATGGGTCACAGCTGCAGGTAGCAAGTTTTTAAAGTTGGAGCAAGTCAGGACAACTCGGTGCAGGGTCCTGCCTCAGACTCATACATGAAACTCTTCTGGTTTAAATGACTTCAGCCAGCTATGTGGATTAAGCATGGTTGGTAGGTAACGGCTGGCAGTGATGCTGCTTGCTTTAGCTTTTGTTCCGATGTGATTTGTAAGTCTGTGTGTGTTTTGTGGAATTTGGTGTGGGTTTTGAGGTTGACATGAAGGAGCCATGCTGCTTGGTGCCTGGCCCAGAGGGCTGTTGTCTGCCTGGTGCTAGTGGCTGTCTCAGGGCATCTGATCTGCATAGATGATGTAGAATCATAGAATCATAGAATAGTTAGGGTTGGAAAGGACCCTAAGATCATCCAGTTCCAACCCCCCTGCCATGGGCAGGGACACCTTACGCTAAATCATATCACCCAAGGCCTTATCCAACCTGGTCTTGAACACTGCCAGGGTTGGAGCATTCACAACCTGCCTGGGCAACCCATTCCAGTGCCTCACCACCCTAACAGGAAAGAATTTCCTTCTTATATCCAACCTAAACTTCCCCTGTTTAAGTTTTAACCCGTTACCCCTTGTCCTGTCACTACAGTCTCTAACGAAGAGTCCCTCCCCAGCATCCCTATAGGCCCCTTCAGATACTGGAAGGCTGCTCTGAGGTCTCCACGCAGCCTTCTCTTCTCCAGGCTGAACAGCCCCAACTTCCTCAGCCTGTCTTCATACGGGAGGTGCTCCAGCCCCTGATCATCCTCGTGGCCTCCTCTGGACTTGTTCCAACAGTTCCATGTCCTTTTTATGCTGAGGACACCAGAACTGCACACAATGCTCCAGGTGAGGTCTCACAAGAGCAGAGCAGAGGGGCAGGATCACCTCCTTCAACCTGCTGGTCACGCTCCTTTGGATGCAGCCCAGGATACGGTTGCTTTCTGGGCTGCGAGCACACACTGAAGCCGGCTCATGTTCCTTTTCTCATCCACCAGCACCCCCAAGTCCTCCTCCACAGGGCTGCTCTGAATCTCTTCTCTGCCCAACCTGCAGCTGTGCTGGGATTGCCCCAACCCAGGTGTAGGACCTTGCACTTGGCATGGTTAAACCTCATGAGGTTGGCATCAGCCCACCTCACAAGCGTGTCGAGGTCCCTCTGGATGGCATTCCTTCCCTCCAGGGTATCAACCGAACCACACAGCTTGGTGTCATGGGCAAACTTGCTGAGGGTGCACTCAATCCCACTGTCCATGTCAGTGACAGAGATGTTGAACAAGACCGGTCCCAGCACCGATCCCTGAGGGACACCACTTGTTACTGGTCTCCAGCCGGACATTGAGCCACTGACCACAACTCTTTGTGTGCGGCCATCCAGCCAGTTCTTTATCCCCTGAGTGGTCCATCCATCAAATTGATGTCTCTCCAATTTAGAGACAAGGATGTCGTGTGGGACAGTGTCGAACGCTTTGCACAAGTCCAGGTAGATGCCATCAACTGCTCTACCCCTGTCCATCAGTTCTGTAGCCCCATCATAGAAGGCCACCAGATTGGTCAGGCAGGATTTCCCCTTAGTGAAGCCATGCTGGCTGTCACCAAGCACCTTGTTGATTTTCATGTGCCTTAGCATGCCTGCCAGGAGAATCTGCTCCAAGATTTTGCCAGGCACAGAGGTGAGACTGACTGCTCTGTAATTCCCCGAATTAGGGGAATGTAGGTGAGGCTGACACCAAATGTCCTGCCTGCTTAAGCACAGGCAGCTCTTTCTTAGGTATGATGTAAAGTACGTCTAACGGGAGTAATTTAACAGGGTTTTTGTTAAAGTGGGCCAGCAGGATGTGGCATAGATGTGGTACTGTTGTCTTCCTCTGTGCTGTGTCCCTTGAGGCCTGATCCTCTGTGTGTCTCCCCTCCCTGAGCCCAAGCTTGCCTTCTGGCTCACCTGCTCCAGATGGGCAGCACAGTGGGAGGACACTGGCAAAGGCAGATGTGTTTATTTACCGGAGACAAAATGTTGTTGTGTTGCAGATGGCAATGCCCTGGAGCAAGTGGAGCACTCTGACACTACTGTCACACTATAGTGATCTCTGTACCGTAGGGAGAGCTCCTTTTCTTTAAACATAGCACTTAATGATTTGTTTGTGGGATTCAGGATTTGATGATACAAACCTTGCCGTCAGAATTTTTTTTCCCTGTGAATTTTGTTACATTTGTGGAATACCAGAAGGATTAACACCAGCGCTCTGTGTCTATTTAAATTGCATTATAGGATTCCTGGAGGCTGCTAATTATGTGGGTGATAAAAAAGTGGAAAGGTAAAACATGCCACTGCCTCCTGTTAGGAGTGAGAAAATAGTTTAGAAGTAAGAAGTTTGTTGAGGGAAAAGGTGGTTTGTTGCTGTGTTGCTGCTCACCGTGTGAAGCTGTTTGTTATGGAAGGCTGGAGGAATGTGAAGGAGGGTGGCTAACACTGAAACACCACTTTTTCAGACAGAATACTGTTGTTGCGGCCCAGCCCGAAACAGAGCTTGTTCTGCATTGTTAATCACCATCTGGGTTCCTCTGTTATCTAGCTTGGTTTTGTTTATGAACATTGTGGCACATATAGGCCAAGTTTCTGGTATCTTGGGGGTGGCTGCCTTGTAAGGCAGTGCCTTGAAGTTGTTCTTCTGGTAGAAGTGTTAAGTGTAATGACACTGGCCTTGTGAATTAAGGCCATTTCATTGCTGTGCTCTTTTACTGAATAGTCAACATGTGGCTTTGCATGACATTTCATTTTTTAAAGCAAGGGGTTTATGCTCCAGAGCAGGATCTGAAAAGCGTCTTTGATTTCCATTTATGTGTTGCAATTGAGGCAAACTTAGAAACTGCTTTGAACCCAACTGTCTTTCACATAGGTGAGTGATGCTGTAGCTCCTCTTCCCCTATACCTACTCCAGTACCTCACTTGATTCACCTGCTGATTTTAGTACCAGGTTTAGCGCATATAACATACTACTTAGGTTAGATGGAGGTAGGGAGTAGGAAAAATACCCACCTTGCCTCTTCAAGTTTCTTGTTGTGATGCTGTGTTTAACTGTAGGTGACAGGGTCTGGCCTGAGCCCAGAGGAAGACTGCCAGTTCCTTTCTCCTTGTCCACGCTTGGCAGGACGCGTCCTTGCGCCCACCTTTCCCCCTTTGCTGTGTCTTTGGCTTCTGCCAGATGTCACGCCGCTGCTTGTCACCACCCAGCCTCCTGCTGCTGGTCTGGTTGCTTTACAGTATTTATCACAACTGTTCTCTTCTGCTGGAAATTCTGAAGAATTTCACACATCCATTAATTGCTGTAGTTATTTTAAATCAAACAGCATAAAATGCAAAGCTACTTGGGATGTGAAATAGTGCCTCTAATAGGAAGGTAAGTTTGAGGGGGGGGAGAAAGATCTGATTGATCCTGGGGTGTTGTTCGTCTGCTCATTTGGTAGCCCTTGCATCACAGCAGTCTTCTAAAGAGTTTAGAATGCTTGGCATGGATGTAGTTACAAAAGCCAAGGCTGCATCTGGAATGGACAGAAGGACAAGGAATTCCAGTCCCAACATGAAGATGTTAGTGCCACTAAGCACTAAGAGGGGCTGTCTGCAAATTTCATGTATAATAATGGAGCTAGTAAAGGCATCATGGATATTTCCTTATGGTTAAATCCTGCCTTTCTTCAGTAATAGCAAGGCATGGGAGCTTTAAGTAGTCTGATAGAACATTAGCAGGAGAACTTACAACTGAAAAACAGCTTACAGATTTGTTTAAGTCTGTATAACACCATTTATTTATGGTTGAGTATCTCACATATGCCAGTGTTGGTAATTCAAAGTCACACAATAAGTTGAGTGATCTTGTGTCATGGCTCTTAAATATCAACTTGTGTGATGTTTCAGAATAAATAAATGATGAAATAGAGACTAATTAAAGGAATACAGCTGCATGGTAATTTGCTTCCAAGTATTCTTGAATGCTTTGAAGATTAAATCACACAATTTACAGTGATATGTTTGACATATAACTGTAGCCTGCTTTATTATTTGTTACTATCTGGTCAGAGTAAAAATACTGTATCCTGTGATACTTTTTGGGGTTCTTTTGAGTACAAATTCAGTGGTTTTGGTATCAAAATGAACTTTTTCCATTACAGTGTTTTGGCTTGAGGGGGAAATTGTGTTTGTGTGTTTTAGTCTATTGTTGGTTGCATCTTTTTTTTTTTTTTCTTGTTGCTTTGTTGATCTAGGCTTTCCAGCACTTTAAGAAATATCCTGTTAGTATGATTAATTTAATAAGAAACATTTTGTAGATAGGAAAATACTGGAAGTATATAAAAGCTGTCTTAAAAAATATATATATACAATTCCAGAATCTTCCTTGAGCCTACATGTAAAAATAACACAGTGCAGGCACGTTTCAGGATCTTACAAAGTACACATCTTGGAAGAAGATGTACAGAGACATCTGCTTTATTCACTCTGGTGGAACACACTAAACCTATGCCATGAAGGAAATGGCTAAGGAATTGCTAAACTTCCAAGTACACCAGGGTAGAAAGGCATGGCTACATTAATGTGGTTACAAGGAAAAGATGTTGGTATTTCCCAACCATATTTGATAGGCTCTTGCTGAAGTCATAAGCAAGAATCAGAGAAGACGACAGCTAAATTTCTAGCATGAGAAAACTGTTTCCAGCCAAGCAAAAATGCTGCTGAAATGGGATGTTGCAGTACCTTGAACAGAAATAAACCGATTCCATAGATCTTCTTCATTCACGTGGTCAAGTTAGCTGAATACTAAAGATTAAAAACCTGCAATAAAAATCTTAACTGCCAGTTAACAAGACAGTGAACACTGTGTGTAACTGTTTGCACTGTATGTAAGCTTTCATATATGCTAAAAGGGCTCTGGTTAACAGTAGCGTGACTGGGAAAAGAGCATGCTAAATTAACAAAGGCGTTCTTAGAAACTGCAAAATGTTCACGTTGTGCTCACATGTTGACAGTAAAACTCAGCAAGTTTTATGCTGAGATGAAAGAATCTGGTGTGAAAACATAATTAAAGTTGTCTTAAGTTTGAATGTGCCATGAAAGCTCTTAAAAAGCCCCAGACATGCTCGTTTTCAGGAGAACCAAAGTTTCATGTTTTTTATTTGCTTCTGCATCCCATGTTACCAAAAGACCCAATCAGTTTTGAGACTGTAATCTCCTGCAGACAGTATTGGTATAGTTACTGGTAGCATTTTATGGCAAAAGAGTTGTGAAATCAACGGTGTTGCTGTTCTGTAGGTGGCGGGGGATTAAGATTCAAAGCTTTAGGAGTGGCTGCTTTAATGCAAATGTGGTTTCTGTTTGTAGACCCCTTATCATGTCAACCTTCTCCTGGCTGGCTATGACGATCAGGAAGGCCCTGCCCTTTACTACATGGACTACCTGGCAGCTCTGGCTAAAGCTCCTTTTGCAGCACATGGATATGGTGCATTCCTTACCCTCAGCATCCTTGACCGCTATTACAAGCCAGGTAAGGGGTGTACAGAGAAGAAATATCTCCTGTCACCAATTGATAAATTAAAGGCTCAAACTGAAAGATTGGTGTTTGCTGAGTGCAGTTGCTGTGCTGCTACAGATTTGAGCATGGCTTTCTGTTAGGATAAATGTAGCTTTAAAGACTGCCTTCTGGTTTTGCTGAAAGGGTAACATGAAACTAGTCAGCTCCTTAAAGTGTTTTCCTGTTTGAGGCATAACAGACTGTAAGTGAAGGAAGTTTCAGTTTATTGTAAAACATGACTTCCCTGGACCATTAGCTGCTAGTAGTCTGTAATAGCATTTGGATAACTTTATCTTCTACTTGCTTGTCTGTTGGCTATGACATGTACATTTTCCCAGAGTACCAATCTTCAGAGGGCAGTCTGAGGTCCTGTTGCTCCATATCTTGGATTGGCTTTTTGTGTGATAGATTAAAAACATACAAGTGAGAAGATGCTCTTAGCAAGATTATCTTCAGTACTTTGGAGTGGCGGTGATGAAGATTGGTTGGTTTAGTTTTATGCATGTGGTAGCTGTTGTACATGTCTGTACCTGTCTGAAATTTTAATTTCAGAATCCTAATCCAGTTCTTAATAAACCCCATCCCCACTTTACAGATGAGAAAATGTACAAAACTGGGAATATTGTTAATCTGACGTCTTTTGGCTTTAGCTACAAAACTGCTTTGCTCCTGTGTGCAAAGCTGAGTTTAATCTCATAGCAGAGTTCTTGGTTTAGTAATCCTTTCGTCTCTCCTGCAAGAAGTGTAGCTAACTGTCAGTTTTATTCTAATGGGGCTTCTGCCTGAACAGTGGATGCAGATCTGGAGCAAACTCTACAAACAAGTTTTGAGAGATTCACAGGACTTAGTTGTTTTGTAGTCAGGTCCCTTGAAAATTCAACTGCTCCATTTTCCCCACTCCTCATGAAAAGAGAAAAACAGTGAGCTACAATACGTTGTCATGGCTTGACATCCCTATAGAGCACTGGATTTCATCCTAACGTGAGAATAGCAGGGGCATCACACACGTGCCTTTCCCATTATTAAAGCTAATACCCAGCAGGGAAGGCAGCACTAAAACCAGTCCCTACCTACTGTCCCTGACTTACAGCCGGCTGTGGACAGATGGAGCTGATTTGAAACTGTAATAAACTGGAGGAGGGAGAGACGTCCGGACTTCTCCGGAGCCTGGTCCCTGGCCATGGGAGGCAGAATTCCGTCATGCTTCCCATTCAGTGTAACAAATCGATTCTCAATGGCTTGTTGCAGTGTGAGCGCTCCAGTGCAGGGCATCCTCGGTACATCTGGAAAGTGTTTTCTGTGAGCTGGGAAGGAGAGGGTTTGGTGCTCAGCTGAACAGTTGTTTAAATTTAATAAAGTTTCTGTTGGGGGAGATGGCCTCTAATGAAATCAATCTGTGGATGTTTTCTCTTTCAGGTATGACACGTGAGGAAGCTGTGGAGCTCCTAAAGAAATGTCTAGAGGAGGTGAGTTGCCAAACTTAGACCCTTGTGATCTTGAGAAAGGAACTTTTGTTTGCATTCATTTGCTGATATTTTCCTCTTCCTCTTGTCGCATTTTTTGGCTGCCTTTGCCAGAAGGGGTAATAGACGTACACTGACCAGATGTGGAAGAGCTACTGAGGATTTGTGGGCCCTTGCATTGTCTTAGCATGGTTCATGTCCTTCAGAACGTAAACTTGAAGCTTTTCTTTACTTCTGCTTCTTCCGTGCTTAGCATAATATTGATACTGCCTATAACTGGGGTTTCATGTTTTTCTGAGCATAATTCAAGCATCCTTTTGTGACATGTATTGCATTTTGTGCCTCTCTTCCAGCTTGTGAAGTGGTATCTGAGGCGAAGCTTTGACCTTAAAGTTCGTGATCAATTTTAGGGCAGACGTAACCTTTCAAACTCTAAGGCTTTTATTGTAGGAAAATGTCCTTTATTGTTGTCTTTAAGAGATTGAATTGAATGTAACTGGGAAGAAACCTCTGGGGAACCAGCAGGAAGAAGTGCTTTAGAGAGGTTCTGTTTGAAGTACCTTCGATACATAGACTTTGTGTCCTAAGTTGTAGCCCACTCTGGTCTTCTTGTGTTACCATCTTCCTTGTTAACAGGATTGTGTATTTTCCATCTCCAGCCTAGGCTTAGTCTTGCCACAGAGAACAAACTTGGGCTGATTGATACCTGAGCAGTGAAGAAATCACTAGTTCCTAATATTTCAGGCCATCAGAACCCGAATGGAAATGTTGATGTACAGCAGCATATCCCTGCTGTATCCCTGCACTCTCCTCTTTTATTTAAGCTTTGAATGAATCTCACCTTTTGTCTTTTTGTCTTTTGTTAAACAGCTTCAGAAACGCTTCATCCTCAATCTGGCTTCTTTCACTGCCCGGTTCATTGACAAAGATGGCATCCACGACATGGAAAAAATACCCCTTCCAAAAGCGACGCCCTAACCTCTGAGCTCTTTCTTCAGCAGTCTTCTGTCTTTTTTTGTTTTGTTCACTTCTGGGTGTTTTTCTATTCACTTGGAGCACACAAGTCATGTACTGCACCGGGCGACTGAATAAAGATTGACATTTATATAGCCAGTTTTATCTTTTTATTCCACTGATCCTTCCTGAGAGTATTTAAGTAAATTGTTCCACAGAGAAGGTGAAACTTGATTTGTTGTTAATGGGTGCACATGCAGGTTACTTACCTTTCCTCTTCTCAGATTTCACCCCCCAAGTTTTCTTATGTATGGAAAAACCTGGTAGTATATTTTCTAGGTGACTCTGCTGTCACCCACTCGTACCTAAAGCTCATCAAACACCAGGCAAGTGTTTCATGCTAAACATAGAGCATCTGCTTTACTTTTCCAAAGATGTTACCACTGTTTGCTTTCTAAAACAATAATAATGAGGTTTTCAAAGGCTTAATTTGCTTCTGTTATACTTTGTTTCAGTCTAATCCAAGTGGAAGGTGAAAGAAAAGATCTGCAAGTAGAAAGGATTTTAAAATATTAGTGTCATTTTAACTCACCTGGCCATGGTTGTGTTACTGGGAAAGAATATTCTCCTGCTGGCACAGGAGGCTCATAACCACCTTAAGTATATAAATATAAACTGATGTATCAGTTGTGATTTTTTTCGTAGTTGATGTGTCTGTACATTTAGAAGTACATGAAAGCAGTTCAATGAGAAATAAAACTGCAGCACTTCTCATAAATCTTTGAATTGCAACAGGCTAGAGCTTTGTCTCCATGAGAATAATCACTGATCTGTCTTGGCTCTAGATGATGCTTCCATATAAAAACTCCATTCAGAGAACAGCTTCAGATACTTATCATGTGCCTGATCCTTGCAGTCTGCCCAGAAGTGATTTTTCTGAGAGCAGTTTTCATCACTTCCCTACTTGAATTTGCATTGAGTTAGCCGTTTAAAATGCTCTCTTTGGTTGCTTCTTTCATGTTTGAATAAGCTTGTAAATAGAAGGATGGATGTGTACACGATGATGTGCAGAGTGTGTGTACTTGTGTGGCATGGCCTAACACCTCTGTTCTCAGTTGGGAAAGGTAAGTAACAGGGCTGACTGTTCTATTTGTCGAAGCCTTTTTGGTCTTGCCTCAGTATGTGTTTGAGAATGTTAGTGTCTCCCACAAAAAGCTCTCAGTAAAGACCAAATATTCCCATCTTACTGGCCAGGTGGGAACTGGGTTAGAGACTGGGACTTGCTTCATTTTACAGAAGAAATTTGCAGCTCCAGTGCCTTAACTCATCCTGCCCTTACTTAAATCAAATTCTTAAGTTCCATCAGGCTTTGTAGTTTAATTCTTTCCAGGATGAGTTTAATTATCAGCTGGTTTTGTTGTAGTCACGGCTGCACTGGCTTTTATTTAAGGCCAGTGGTAGATAACTGAAACATTTTGCTAAAATTGACTTTGTCTTTTAAAAACCTTTTCAGACTTTTGTACACTGAGAAAGTCATCCCCTGCCTCATGATTTTCTCTTGGCAGGTCACATTTAACATGAGTAGAGCCTGCATGTTCCAGTTCTCTGATTGAAATCTCACCCCTTCATGTTGCATTAATGTATTTGTTTAGCTTAATATGCAGCATCTCTAATTTATTTTACCACTGATGTTGAATGTTTTTGCAGGTTTCTTGTCTCTTTTCAAAGCGGAGGGGCTGAGCTGATGTGAAGTTTTTGTCACTGCATATCAAAGTGGTGATGTCTCCTTATTGGAGGTACTCATTATTTCAGACACCAAACCTGGGGCGTGGTGCTGTGAGATTGAGTCTGGCAGAGAATCTGCCTGGAGTTTTTATTGGCACCTATTTGCATGCAGGTGATTAATAAACATAAAACAATTATTCCCTTGCAAACAGCCTTGCTGGATTCAGGTCAGAGTGGAACATATGTTTTGCCTGAGGGCAGGGCCCAGGATCTGAATCCCCCATTGAGTGAAGATCCAAGGGGTTGCATCAGAAGCCAACAGAGCAGCAACCTCTAGGAATGAATAAATACAGACCTTTATTTCAAACCAGCAGAACAAAAGAATTGGCCCACAGTGGGGTTTGACTGTGGCCTCTAATGAAGTGGATCCTTTTAAGGTCTTTCCAAGAATTTACACCTTGTAAGGAAAGGTGTGATATTCCTGCTGTATAACTTTGGGTTGTTTTAAAGGTCTACAGTGCTGATGGTTGAATTCAGAAGCAGTCAGGTTTCATTTTTGACAGTGATGTATGGAATGTGAAATCAGTGGTTTAAGTTTTCCAGTATCACGGAAGAGAAGGAAACTTCTTACCTGCTTCAAACGTAGCCCTAAAGCTTTTGGAAACCATATTTTTCTTAGAATCCAGGAGTCCTTTCTGTAAAGAATTTACCTTTCCATTAGAAAAGCATCTGTGTCTATTCTGACAGGCCTCTCTTAAGAAATCTAAGAGAACAGAGCACTGCAAGCACTGCTCTCTACTAATAGCCTTGGTTCTTTGTATTATAGAAAATGACTGTTGTAAAGCAGGGTAACGGAGTCCCCTGGCACTGCAGCTACAGTGAGCTGTTCTCTGCTCGGGCTGGTAATTCTGACCATATGTTTTGCTACCGAAGCCTCAGGGCCTAAAGAGTTAACAAGGCACTTTTTCTTGGTGTAGTTTTCCTGTTTAAAGAAGGGCTCTTCCTGAGCACTGTGCATGTAACAGATCATTGCACCGGCTCATCTCTGCTTGGACCTTGCTCCAGGATCGGCTTACAGGGGAGCAGACCCTTTGTGCCTTAGGCCACGTTAGCTTGGGAGTGTTTTGCTGGGAGAGGCAGAGTATGGGTGCAGTGCTCGTAGGTCTTGGTGTTAACTCTACCTTTCCGTGGAAGAAAGTCCGTATTACGTTGTAGACCTGCAGGTGTACTCGAGATGTTGGCGCGGAGGAGGGCGTCAGAGCTCAGACAGCCTAATTGTGCTTAGTGCACCTGAGTGTAACGTCAGGACCGTTCTGCATTCAGCTGTATTCAGCTGCTGTGTGCAGCTGCCGCTGGGTGCTGCCCCAAGATCTCTCCAGTCCAAGAAATCCGGGACCCCGTTCAGTTAAACCATGAATGCTTCAGCCATGGGTAGGTGAAAAGCCTCGGGCAGGGATTGCTCTTTCAGCAGGTCTGCCAGTAGTGAGCCAATGCAGAGACTGCACAGCAAGAGAAATAGCAAAGGTGCAGAAATAACGCCCGTTCGGAGCAATCCTGCAGCGTATTCCCGGCAGTCTGAGCTCACTCCTGTGCATGGTGATGAAACAGTCGCTGGCAGAAACAACCAAATGGAGCTGTCCCTTTTCAGGGTAAAGATGTAGGAGCAGAGGGGAGAATCAGGCCCAGCTCTCCCAAGGATGTCTGTTCATTTGCTCGTCTCTAATTTTGACAGGAGGTTCCTACAAGAAGCGTTAGCCGATGCCGGGGCTGACATTATGGATCATGCTCACAGTGCTTAGGGTTTGATTCCATTTCCCAGTCTGAAGCAGGGACAGAATATTCCTTTTGTATAGAATGGCTCGACACAAAAGGAAGGAAAAACCTTTAACTTTGCTACCTGTGAAGCAATGTATGTGTGGTGTGTAAGGAGAGCTAAATCTATCCTTCAAGGAAGTTAATCCTTCAAGCCATTTGGAATTCCTTTTCCTGAAAGGTTTAACCTCATACAGAGTTTCCACGTGTTATCAGGCTGCCATCAGCAGCCGTTAAGCGCAGGAAACTTTCATGTGAGCACTGATCAAACTAAACAGGCACAAGTTGTTTTAACAGATTTTTGTGTAAGCACAATGGAAACCGGGGAATTAAAATATCCAACTTCTCTGTTTTCCATGCTCTCGCCGCTGTTGGCTTCAGTTCCTGCGTGCTCCTGACTTGCTGAGGACTGGGTTAAAAACCAAGTTGGTTGTCTCGAAAATGCGAAGTGACAGCTTTAGTGTTTTGGTTCTGTGCTAATGTGCAATTAGGTAGTTATCCAATAAGCTTACTCATGTAGTCTAACTCAAGACAGCTGCGGAAGGCACAGAGAAAAGCCTTTGCTGTTGAGGGATGGTGAGAGGGGAAAGGATGTTTAAAAGGATCTGTTTCAGAGTTGCCAGGATGTTCTTTTCACAGTGAAGTATTGCATTAAAGGTTAGCGAGATTTGTGGGAAATTATATTCTGCTGATCAAATCTACGGAGAGGTGAAACCAAAATGTGCGCAGATCTGAATACCAGCAAATACAGCGTAAGTCTGGATCTATAAATCAACTCTAAGGCAACCACAGAAGCGGGTTGTATGGCTGCCTTAGATAATAATAATCTGTTACTTAGATAATCATCTAATTGCCTGAAATGATGACTTGGATAAGTGTATTTTGATTTGGGTGTAGTACCTTTTGCTTCGTAGAACCTTGATGTCATCAAATATTTCCAGTGTTTATGCACAAGCATAAAAATAGTGCATCTTCTTTAGTTAATTCACAGGAGACAAAGCAGGTTCCATCATATTTCATGTCAGTGCTTTTAGGATTATTGGCACTATCCTACTATAGAACCCCTGAAAAGCTGTGGGCTCAGGTGATGCTCGATCTCCTCTTGCTAAATCTTGCACTGGGAATGCAACAAATGCCATTATCCTGCTACCAGAGGGCTTTGTGGAGAAAACCCATGCATCTCGCAAGCCTCTTCCCTTCAGCAGAGGGCAGTGAGCTTGCACGCACACCACCACCTGCTCCACATTGGGTCTTGTCTCAGCGCAGATCATCTGATGGTCACAGAAACAGCGCTATGGAGAGCGGGTTAATGCCTTGTCCATCGGTGGCAGGCAGGATGTACAAGGCTGTTTCTTCCCTTGGAAGATGCACATTTATTTCCACATGGGACAGTTGCCCTACGGAACAGGTAAGTATTGATGTTTGCACAAGTGAAGGCTGAGAGCGACTTGCTAAACAGCCCAAAAGAGTAGCTGGAATCTACCCTCTACGAGTTATCCAAGCACTAACAGGCAGGGATGCAAAGTTAAAGTACATGCTTAGTACTTGAAGGTAATGCCATTCTCCCTTGCAAAAGCGCTCTTAACATTTACTGTGTGCTTGAAGTGAGGGTGTTTTACCCA